TTTTTTTTTTTTTGTAAAAAGTAACAAACTCAAGACAGATTCTATATTGACAGTGACACGTGTAAAAAATCTGTATTCTGTACAAATATTTTAAATGAAATATTAAAAATATATTCTCAAACGCGCTAAGCAAATTTATAATTGCCATTTTAACTGAAAGTAACTTGGAACTTCATTGTCTTTACAGGCAACAATCATTGAGGAACAGACGAGGGGCTTCATTCAGTCCAGGCAACGGTTGAAACAAGAAACAGGAAGAATAACAGCTTCAACACTGAAATCAGTCTGCCAGACAAAACTTGCTGACCCTCCTCTGAGTCTGATCAGAACCATCTGCTATCCAGATATGACATGTTCAACTGAAACAACTAAGTATGAGTCTTTTATAAGGTTTTAAACCTAAACTTGGCAGAAAATGTTACAAAAATATTGTTTGGTTAATTGTTTTTTTAATGTAACAATACTTCTAAGCAGTAAAGCTGCTGGAAAACTTGTGTATTTATAACTCATCCCACATTTATGATGAAAATGCTTTTAAGTATTAAGTAACAGAGGTATATTCATAGGTTGCAAGTCACCTTGGTCCAGGACTGAGATGTATTCTGGTTGCCTCTGTCCATTCAGAGGACACCCCAAACAGACATGAGGGATCTATAAGAGCCCAAGTCTGGTGTGCCATTGTGCTGCTGAGCGAGGTAGTAGCAGAGCTCTGGGCCAGCAGATGGTGGGGGCAACACGGTGCCGCGGCTAAGTAATGTCATAAACTGATGACAATGTGAGATTGTCCGCTCATAACAACAATTCTGTCTGAATTCAGGGGCTGCATCTTTGGAAGGCCACATTTGTATGCCGATTATGTCATAACACAGAGGCTAGCCCTGTCTGAGTTCAAAGGCTCCTCGAAATGAGGCAGACAAATTCATCCTTCTTTTGCCCAGATTTGAAGGATGTGTCCTGTGCGTCCTTCATAGCCTACTCAATCCCATTATTTATTTTATTTATCTATTTACCGTTATTTAACCAGGCAAGTCCCATTGAGATCTCAGATCTCTTTTTCAAGGGCGGCCTGGGCCTGAAGGCAACCTGTTGTACATGTTTTTGGGGGTGGGGGGGAAACCGGAGTACCCGGAGAAAACCCACGCAAGCACGAGGAGAACATGCAAACTCCGCACAGAAAACCCCAGGTCCAAACCGGAGATCGAACCCAGGACCTTCTTGCTGTGAGGCGTTGGTGCTAACCACTGAGCCATTGTGCTAATGAATGAACCAATTGACGGACCAAACTTTGGTCATACCCCAAGTGGGGGGTTTTGTTCACGAATGAGGGAAGTATGGAGCAGGAGATCAATAGTTTCTGCGTCTGCAGTGAAACAGGCGCTGTACCAATCCATCATGGTAAATCAAGAAGTGATCCAAAAGGCGAAGCTCTCGATTTATTAGCTGGTCTTCATTACTACCCTGATCCATGGTCACGAGCTTTAGGTAGTGACCAAAAGAACAAGATCGCGGATACAAGCGGCCGAATGAGTTTCCTCCGCAGGGTGTCTGAGCTCTCCCTTAAAGATAGGATGAGAAGCTTGGTCATCCGGGAGAGACTCAAATTAGAGCCGCTGCTCCTCCACGTCGAGAGGAGCCAGTTGAGGTGGCTCGGGTATCGGGCCCTGCATGTTTTCCTGGTTTCTCTGCTCCAACACACCTGATTTGAATGAATGGGTGATTATCAGGCTCTTGCAGAACTTGAAAGAGCCATTTTGGAGCAGGGATAAAAGTAAAACATGCAGGGCTGCAGCCCTCGACAACCAGAATAGCTCACCTTTGGCTTATATACTGAGGTTGAAAGAGTTAGCTGGTAATGTTGATGTTTATCATAACCTGGCCTGCTGCAACATTCCTGCAGCGCTGCAAGCTAACTGTTAGACTGTTTTGGCTACTATCTATTGTAAATAGCTTTTTTTTTTTTTTTTTTGCTATCACTGGTAATACTGTGACCGCCACTATCTTTGTTGWGTAATTATTAAAAATAAAACAAATCAAGCAGAGGTACTTACTTGTCAAGCATAAATATGGCTGACTCYCCATCAGTTTTGAATCCTTCCAGTATGCGTAGCTCCCTCCACTTCTGAAAAAGCCACTCTGATGTTTACTCTCATTTTATTCCGGGTTCGATGTAATTCTTTCTTTTTAACTTGGATTTCGTCCTGGGTCTTTTTCTGATTACCTGTCTTTGTTTTCTGAACAGGCAGCACTCGAGAAATTGGCATTTTTCCTGTAACATTAGCTTATTTTCTGCTCACACACTGTAGCACACACTGCAAACTCGCGTTTGCATAAGTGTGTGCGCTGCGGGTCAGGGGAAGGGTGTGAGCAGCTTGTTCACAAGCTTGATTGACACCAGTAAGTCCCCCAGGCTCTAATAGCCTATATGCCATGYACTTCTGGGCCAGCACTGGATGCCATTCCCAACACTTCCGGTTCACAGTCAACACAGTGTTAGTGAAAGATTTTTTCACCCGACAACGACTCTTAATGATCTCCACAGTACAGAATTAACATATTACATGTACCAGCATTAACACAGGAGACGTACAGGTCCAGCCAAGTGGAAAAAAAAATCACTCCAAAGTGGATTAAAGCAATAAAAACAAAGGAAAGACGTTCGTGTTTATGGTTCCAGAATTTAACCTTTTTTGCTATTCTGTGGCTGCTTGTTCTGTGAATTTTTCACGTAGAGCTGTGACACTTATATTGGTTGGAAAGAGCAGAGTCTGGGCTTTAAATCGATGGGCTACTTGTATGGTTTGGATCGTTTTCCCCGAAGTTAGTGAACTGAAAACGTAATGATTATCAGGCAGAGGTTCTGCTGCTCTCGGTGCTCGGTGGGAGGGGGGTGCGCTCGTCGCTCGGCTTTAGTCTACACTGTAATATACTGTACACTCTAACAAGTTTTACTTTTGCATAAAACTCATGACAAGGTCGCATAAAAACATTTCATATAACACAAACGTGCACGCACACACACCTGCCTTTACCAGCTGCTGTGTTAGCTTCCAGCTAGCTGTCGTATGGAGGTGGTCTTTCCTCTCTCGGTCTTGGCAGTAAAATGGGATAAATGTACATTTCTCTTTTGTAACCTCCATCTTCTCATTTCTGATGCTGGCTCTTGAATATCCTCAGGTTAGAAATGCTGATTACAAACTCAAGCGTGAGCTTTTAAAGATAAGTGTTCCCTGTAATGCTATGATCCACTGCTGTTACCTCCTCATCAAGAGGAAAAAGGATAAAAACTAACTACTCGATCGTATCTGCTGCTTAGTGGACACAACGGCACACAACAGAACTCATGTTTTATACCAGTAGATCACAGATGCTTTAACTTTTGGCTACGGTGCGCAGCGCTGCGCTGTGTCTTCTGAATAAATGAAAATGATTTAACACAGTTGTTTATACTTTTAGCAGCTCTTTTTATCCCACAGCTGACCTGCTAAAAATGACAAATTTTCTTT